AAAAAAAAAAAAAAAAAAAAAAAAAAAAAAAAAAAGAACTTATTATCTTGATAGCCTAGTGATATCATACCACAAATTACCGTGCTCTACTTGGTATAGTATAAACACTGTAAATGAAGACCTGCTAAGTCTGATTTATAGCAAGTATTGGCAACCATATTAATAATAGAAAAACATATAGCATGAACAGAAACAACCAAGGAAAACAAGGCACTCACATTCTATTGTCATAATACATTATTTAGGTAAGAGTTTAAGTTGTACAAATAACAGTACACATAAGATATTTACACGATAAAGGTGCTCAAAACACCAATCAATTCTAGAAAATGTGATAACACTGGCAAAGAAAAATAAATTCATTAAATGCATAAAATATCACTGCCTCGAATGGAGGTTGTGTACCTTAGATGCCCACCTGCGAACAAAATAAGGTGAGGTGCCTCCATTATCATCATCGTTGCCATATCCTTGAGATTTCTTTCAAAACATAAGTCAGAAGGTGTATTAGAACTTTGATACCGCGCTAAATAAATTAAAGGCTCTGCAACCAAGGAAAGCAGAAGACAATAGCAAAATTGTACCACTTTTCTAATAAAAAATACGAGATCGTCGTCTTGTCGCCCCCTTGATTCCTTACCGCGAATAAAATACAAATCCATAACATCGTGCCAAAAACGAGGATCCATTTCTACATCCGAAGCATCTTGCTCATCAACCTCAGTTTGTCCTATTAAGTTGGAGTGCTTCTTAACCATGTTCAGCAACTCATATCTACAAATTTAACAACCAAATTACAAAAATAAACACGAAAAACTCATTAATTTCGTATGCTTGTGCTTTACTCCAACTTCAAGCAAAGCTTAAGCACTAGTGGATGAAGCGGGGATAGTTGGAGTAGCCGAAACATAACAATTGTCAATTTATCCATTAACAATAACTTGTGCATCTAGACATCGATCACGATTTATGACAACATCAAGCAAAATATAATTAATCGCTGCAGTCTCGAAGAATGCAAATGTATGAAAATCAAGATGATCAGCGAGTTTGCTAAGAACCGATTGATGCAGTACGATTTAATGATCGGAAACAAGAATTTGAAGTCAAGAAACCGAATATACCAGTGGAGCAACTAAGAAACGAGGTTCAAAAGTCCCTAGTTAAAGAGAAGGTAGGATATCAGTCGCACCTGCAAGGAGTTTCTTCTCCATCTCCGAGCATTTCTCCCGGAAGCTTCTGCTTTCTCAAGACGAAAATAATGTATAAACTAAAGGAAAATCGGTTTTATAAATAAGCTCTAAGTTCTGGAATCTTAGTTCTGAGAGAGTTTTTGCAGTAGAAGGGAAGGGAGACGAAATCAAGCCCAGGAGGAATTTACTGACCAGGTGGCGCGGTTTCTTTTCTGGGAAATGCGGTGCGTTGGAGTCGGATGCTATAGCAAAAAATGCATCGTTACTTCCAATAGAAATTTTCTGAAATTGCCGGGTGACCCGGGTTCGATACCCGCCAACAGTTTTAATAAAGTATAAGTATTTTAACATTCCCATTCATTACAACGACGTCGTTGTAGTATAGTGGTAAGTATTCCCGCCTGTCACGCGGGTGACCCGGGTTCGATCCCCGGCAACGGCGATTTTTTAATTTTTTTTGGAAACAAAAGTAATTAGGTGTGTTATTGTAGCGTGCTTACATCAATCCTGTTGTAGAATAGTGATTAGTTTTTTTGAGTTTCTCTTTTCAAACTTAATGTAAAATATAGTATTTAATTTAAACTCTGTTAACAACATGGTTGTTGAGGTAAAGTGTATTATTAACCACAAATCATAGCAAAATTAACCATTATTTCAAAAAATGAATAATAAAATTCAATTTATAATATGGATGTTGAGGATGCTTTTATTTCAATTCTCATTAAAATAAAAATAAAAAATTCACACATTTTCCTTTTCACTGTGAATTATTTAGATTTAGAGGTTGATCTCCTCTTAAAATAATTATTTAAAAATGTGAATAAAAAGTTGAATCACGAAATTAGGTTGGTAGCATTGAAGCACGTGAAATGAACGTAAAAGGGTAAATGAAGTTTCTAGAAATGAGTTCATACGATGAAATATAACGTTTTTTGAGATTAGGAACATTCTCAATTACCTCTATCTCAAAAATGAAAACAAAGACATAAATGTTAAATTAGTGGCGTATTGAATAGGTTAAATCCAAAACAAAACAACATTAAAAACGTGGAAGAAGAAAACCATGGGCTGCATTACTTCTTCCACATATGAATACAATTCTAATACTACAAATTTTTATAAAATGAAAGGGATTGCTGTGTGCGCCGGCCAATCCAATTCCTTCTCGACAAGGTTGCTTGCTTCTTCGCTTCTTTCCAGTTCCCAAGGTTGCATGCTTACTTTTATAGATTCCACCCTCAATTATCAACCTCCAACTAACAACCACAATAAAAACATTGAATGCCAAAACAATAACATATTAATTATGTAATATAAACACACCAAAAAAAAAGGAAAAAACAAAACCACCATAATTAGCGCGTAGGGCGTCATCTCCATAAATCCCCCGTTTCATCCGTTTCTATTCAATTGTGTGTTCAAAAGCTCCAATTAGAATCCTCCAGTCGTCTCCATTGTAACCACGAAAATGTCGAAGCTCGCGGCTCTCTTCACCATTGCAGCACTCGTTTCAATGTCCCTCATGCTGCCGTCCTCCGAGGCTCGTCCCATCACTACTCTCACTGCCACTTCTGCCGTAATCGCCAATCCGGTAACGTAAAGTTTCATATCTCCGTTTTAATTTCGGATTGACTATATATTGTTGAACTAAATTTGATGCTTAATTCTACGTATCCCTCCTAGGTGATCGTTTCTGAAGAGGTTTGTAAAGACGACTGCCTGATCAGAAGAACCTTAGAGGCTCATACTGATTACATCTATTCCGGCGACACTAAGCCATGAATTACTTATCTTTTTATATTTTCTCTCATTAATACAGTCTAATACTTAAATAATGAAGGAAAATCCTCTTATTTTTTTGCCTTTTCTGTTTGATTTACAAACAAACCGATTGCTGATTCGATTCAGTTCGCTGTCCCCACAGCTTCCGTAACGAGAATTAGTTAGGAAATGGAAGCGGTTAAGAGTAATAACCGTAACGTAGGTTGAACTTCATTGAATTTCGTCAAAATAAAATAAAGTGACACTGAATTATTAGAGTAGAGACTAAGAGAAACACATTGAATTACTTTCATACCATCCAAACGTGTGGTGACAGATAATGGTTGAACGATCACAATAAAGAAATTACATTAAAAATAAATTTATAATTAAAACAAACGAAGCAATTTTAATTTAAAATAAAATTGTTTACGAATTACCCGTTGTTCTAAATTCTGGGAGAGGCAACATATTGGAGAAGCATATGAACAACATCCTTTGAAACTCGTTCGGATGATTCTTTCAAATTCTGGATCTTAACCTTGGTTTCATCTTCCAGCCGTTGCGTATAGGACCCAGAATTTGTCTGTGGTTATAATAATTTACAATCAAAATGGTTTTGAAAGAAGATTAAGATTTAAAATTACCTCAGAGAGTTTGTTCTGATATTGAGCCTCCATGTGGGCACGATACTGGGCCACTTCCCTTTCAGCTTCATCTTTAGCTTGTTTCAGTCTGGCCATCTTCTCTGCCACACCAAACAAAAAGTGTTATCCAAAGGAATTTGTGAAATGATTATAGAAGTAGAAGAGTATACTGTTTCTAGCGGTGGATATGACTTGCTGGGCATCTTGTTCTGCAGATAATAGCATTTGAATGCCACCTTGTCCTCGGAATGACTCCATTATTGCTCTCTAATGATATTGGTTTCGATCGAAATGGCCTCCAAAGGGATTCATATTACATACTCAATGTTCATATCATCCATCGCTTTCCAAAAATAACTCACAAAATCCTCCATTCTTTAAGGGCTTTAGTTCCAGAATCGGTCTATACAAACTTTAATCCACCCAAATTCCGGCGAATTTTTATTTTTATTTTCGATTAAATTAGAAAAACATACTCTCCCCTTAGCCTACATTTTTAATGGATTAGACCGTCCAAGATAATTGGAGGACTTGCATTGAAAATAACTCTTTTTTTTATAAATTAAAAAAGAAAAAGAAAAAAAAGAAGCACACTTGCCCACGCATTGAGCTGGCGGAGATTCTATTGAGCAGATTTTTTTAGAATAAAAATAAAATCAGAGAGGAATATATTAATTGTGGTAAATAAAATAAAGAAAAAAAAAAAAGGAAAAAGATGATGGATTTGGTGGAAAGAACACATGATTTGTGAGAAGGTAAAGTTGGGGAAGGTGGCATTTGGGTGGGTCACGAGTAACGTACTCGTGCCTGATAATTACCCAACCTCCCTCCATCTGCACTTGCTCTGCACGTGACTGTAATTATAACATTATGCAATCGTTAAATTTAATTTATTAATTTCCCCAAACTCCGTGCTGCTAAAAAGGAAACCAAAATACAAAATACAAATTACAATTACACGTTTACATCCTCGGAGTCGACGACGCATTCTCACGTGGCAAACACTGGATGGTCAAACGCACAGTAAACAATGATAAAATTCACTTTTCAAACCCATTATTATTCTATTTCTCATTGTTTCAAATTATTAAATCTCTGAGGCCGCAGGCTCACTCTGGGTTTATTTTAAATGGACAGAGTTTTTCAAATATCAAAATTAAAGGTAGAAAATTTTACTTTTTGAAAAGTAAAAATGTTTGCATTAAAAATACAATTTTATCCGAGTCTTTGTCCTGCTTTTCTAACACTTTCCTCTTTCTCGGTCAAAGCTTGGCTGTATTTCAGGATTCTTTGACCACAAAAAAAGAAAAGAAAAAAAAAAAGTATAGTCGCCGGGATAGAATATTCCGGTCATCAAAACTTGCTTATCGCGTTCATTCATAAGGCTATTTCAATGGTGCATAATATTTTTTATAAATGAAACAAAAGGTGGTTTATGGACAATTTTGAGAAGCTATGTTTTATTGTATAGTTCTCGTAAGCTTACATTTAGAAATGAAGATAGAATCCGGGTAATTTAGACTACACAATTTCAATAGCTCTGCAGATCTCTGTTTCAGTTCTGGATTGAACCCACTTTGGATCACAAGCAGCAACTTTGCCGCTAATCCCGCCTCCACCGCAAGCACCGAACATTCCTCCGGCGCTAGCTTGAACACCGCCCACAAAATCGATAGCGCAAATCTTGTACAAATCTCCGATACTTTCATTAACAATTTCACCAAATTTCTAACTGTATCTTCACAATTCTTCAACGCTAATCTCCCCTCTGGAAGGGACGACAAAACGTCGAGAATATAAAGCGCTGACTCCAAGCTTTCGGCGTTTAAGCCGGAGAGAGCGCCGCCGAGTTTCGCGACGGCACCGATGCCAACGAGTTGCTTTCTGATTGATTCGTTTGAACAAAGCGTTCGGAGTAAAGCGAGTGCGGCGGTTACTCCGTTTGGATGTCTTTGATCCTTCACCATTCTCAACAATCCGACGAGGAGACTTAAACTCGAAACGTTCTCTATTGTTGAAGCATCGCCCTCCGTCAACATCTTGATGAATTTGGTGCAATTAATCTTGGTTTCGATGGACCCTTCGTTTAAAATATCTGCAATTAGGGATATTCTGGTGGGTTGAATCAGATTCTTCTTCAACTCCGAATTCAGATCCAAATTGACGAGAATCCCCACGCCTTCCGACCCAACTGCGTGGGAAGTGAAAGAACCCAAAAGAGAGGAGATTAGAGCAACACCGCCGTTGTCGACCACCATCTTCTTGGCGGAGGAATGGGCGGTGACGACATGTCGGAGATCCTTAAGGGACTGAACCCTAGCTTGGCCCTTGACCTTCTTCAACGAATCCAAGAGCTCTAAAACTCTCCCCTGCACGTCCTCTGATCTTTTCTTCAATGCTAAGTACTTCTGCGAAAACCAGGTGTGAATCAGCTGGTGAAGGGTCCGATTCGGTGTGACGGAATCGTCCCAAAGCTCTTGCATTGTTGTGGGACAAGTCAAGTGGCCTAAAGAGAACCATTTGAGAATGTTGGACCGCTCGTAGGTCTGCCCGGAGCAGAGGGTGACTGGATCTTGCATGGGCTCGAGCGAGATTGGGCAAATGAACACCGATGGGACCTCTATGGACGACTCCAGCTCTTCAATCATCTCCTTGAGATCCAATTTCTGGGCACCGCCATCGGCGGCGATTACCCCCCCGCCTCCGCCGCCAAGAATTCCATCTTTGACCACAGTTTGGAGATCTAGAATGTGCGCGCCGCAGCCGACGAGGAGCTTGGGATCCCGTTGTGTACAAATGGAGGGGTGGTAGATGGGCATTTTAGAAAACTGTGTGTTGTGAAAACTGGAGATGAATCTGAATGTGATTAAAATGGTATATAAACAGAGGAAAGTTGAAGAAGGGAGAGCAGAGGAACGTGTGGGAAGGAAAAGTAAGAAAAAGCGAGGAAGAAAAAACAGAGAGAGAGAGAGAGGGAGAGGGTAGCGATGCTTTGGGGTTCCTACGCTACACTGTCGCTCTCATTGACAATCACAGGCAGCAATGGTTGCTCACTTTGTTGCTTTTCTTTGCTTTTCTTTTTCCTTTTCTTTTCTTTTGTTGTGTGGTCAAAAGGGTATTATCTCCTTCTTCATCTTTACACTATCCACCACCACCATCATCACCAAAGCAAAGATGAAGGCGACCACATTTTTGGTTCCCCAATTCCAAAGCTTCCTCTTGAAGCTCTCAAAAAGGGGGAAATAATGAAAGTGGAGATCAGAAAATGATGACCCACATTTCATCCAACACAGCGGAGGAAGGGAAGGAAGAAGAAAATGGATATTACCGGATATAATAACACCCTGTTTTACTGCACAACAAGATGACGGACCGTGCACCGCACGTGCACGTCGGTCTTCTCTTCTCTCTCTGCAGCACCAAAAGCAAAAGCTAAAGCAAATTATTAGTCCAAGAAACTTTGTGGTAGGGTCGTCTTTGGATTATTATTATTATTATTATTGACTAATGAAAGGCTTTAATTCATTCCCACAATTCACACGACACCACAAATCTGTCTTCAATTATTCTGGTCAAATCCTTTGTACATGAAACTTGAATTAAATCCCCCCTTAAAAAGTATAATTTAAAAGCCTGAATTTATGTAATTACCTCAAATTGAAGGCCTAAAAGAGGAAGAAAAGTATAAACGAGGGAAGGGAAGGGGATGGTAGAAAAAATATAAATAAATAAAAGCAAAGAGAGAAGAGCGGGATTTTGGATTTGCCAAAACGAGGCATATAAATTTAAACAAAAAAAAACAAAACCGGTCTTCTAGATCTCAGTACCAGTCAAACCTGCTGAGCTGGCACTCTTTACAAAGCCACGCTCTGGTGGGCCCACCTCTTCCCCTTCCCATTCCCCCCGCACAACACAAATCTCATCTCCTTTTCATTAATTATTTTTATATGTTTTATTAATTTAGTATATATTTTCAACTCGTTCCAGCGACACGTGTGCATGGGCTTTGCTATTGCTTTGAGGGCCCACTTCAATTCTTGTGTGGGCCTATTCAGCCTTTTACTTTTGGGCTTCAATTCTTGGTGGGCTTTGGAGAGAGACAATGTTGCCCAAATAATCACAACTTAATATTATTAGTATTTAAAAGAAAAAGGCAATAAATAAATAGTGACAAATTCTCGCTCATATCTTTGTAATTTACACATCTTCCAAAAGGTGAAAACAACAATAATACAATAACTTCCCAAATAATTCAACTCTTTCCAATCAACTGCCCACATTGACAAGAAAGCCAGGGAACAAAATAATAATAATAATAACAATAATAATAATCATAATAATCCATGATCCTCGTGTCTCTATCATTTTCATTTTACTTATTCCCGTCGTCCTCCTCCTTCTACTGTTCCTGAAAATCACCTGCACACACAAACGACGGTAAATTTGGAGCCTTACACGTACACAAACAGAGCTGTTTTTTTTGTTTTTTTTTTTTTTACCTGAGACATTTTTGGTCGTCTTTTTGGCAGAGGAAGACTGAAAAAAGCTTGTCGGTTTCTGCAATACACAGATTTTTTTTTTGTTTGTTTAGTTTTTAGTTTGAAAATTGAAAGATTGGGATGAAGTTTTTTTTTTTTTTTTTTTTTTTTTTTTTTTTTTTTTTTTTTTTTTT